GAAGGGTCCCGACCCGAAACGTCAGCTTTCCTGCTCCTCTGATGCCGCGTGCCTGCGGTGTTCCTCCAGCTCTACACTGTGTTATCTCAGACTCCAGCATCAGCAGTTCTTACTGTCTCTGGGAATTAGAGTTGGGCACAGTGCTACAGGCACTCTTTCTGCTTGACCATGGGGCAATTTTTATTTTGCAGCACCAGAGCCAGTACAGGGCTGGAATTTTAAATCATGGCTCGTGGGCTCTAAGTCACTTCCCCGTTCTCTCACTGTCAATCACTTTACCTGCTGGCTTCTCAAAGGTGATCACAGCGTAGTTGCCCTGTCGTCTGATGGAGGTGATTGTCCCTCCTCCGGACCTCCGTTTACTCTCAAAGTAAAGGCTCACAAAATCCATGGGCAGGTCATCTGTGATGCCATGCACCTCCAGCACCACACCATCTGTGGGCTGCTCCATCTTGGTCTTCTGCGGAAGAGACAACAACAAGGAAAGAAAGCTTGGTTACAAAGGGAAAAAACAAACCTGGCCTTCACCTGCCCACATCTGAATCCCTAGCAGGAAAGAGAAATGTCAATTCAAAGCACAGAGCGTTAACAGAGTAAAGGTCACCATTAAATCCAGTTCCCAGAAGGCTTGTCGGATCACAGAGGATTGATACAGACTTATACACATGTGATTAAAGAGAACAAGCAGGCCGAGAGCTTACTCCACCTTTCAATCAGATCAGGGCTGATGCAATTACTCCACGTTTGCAGCTACCCCCCAATAACTTTGCGAATGCTTTTTGAGAATCATGAACGCAGCACATGAGGAGGCCATTTGGTCCCTTGGATCCACACTGGCTCCTTATTACAGCAATGCAGAATGAATCCCATTGTCCTGCACGCATCCAACAGACTGCTATCACCCACTTCAAATATTTATCCTCTTCCTTAAACAGTGGAGGAGACCCTGCCTCAAACACTTGCTGTTCCACCAGGCCTCTCCCTCCACTCCAAAGTGACAATTTCAATTCGCTGACCCCCTTCCCTATTGGCTCGCTAGCCGACAGAAATCTTGGATTCTGCAGAAACTGGAAATTGGAAACAAAAGCAAGGACTGCTAGAACTGCTCAGCAGATCAGCCAGTCTCCATGGAGAAAGAAACTGACATGAACTGCAATTCTCCTGCTTGCAGTTCAAAAATAATTTACTTGATGAAATAGAGAGCGTCGATGATGGCTGGGACATAAAAGTGAGAAAGTATTGCGACAACTGTACAGGACAAAGGTGAGGCCACACCTTTCGGACTCAGCACTGTTTTGTTCTCCTTACTGAAGGGAGGATACTCTGGTCCGGGAAGCTGTTTAGAGAAAGCTCATAGAGCTGATTCCTGGGAATAAAGGAATTGTCTTATCTGCAAAGAATGGTCAGTATGGGCCTCTAGCCGTTAGAGTTTAGAAGAATAAGAAATGATTCTGTTAAAACATTACATTCCAAGGGTATTGTTTCTCCCTGTGGGACAGTCTAGTGGAATGAGAGGTCGCACATTTAAAGCAGACATGAGGAGGAGTTTCTTCTCTCAGCGGGTAGTGAATCCGTGGTATTCTTTAGCGCAAAGGGATATCAAGGCTGGGTCATTAATTACATTTGAGGCTGACAGACAGATTTTTCATCAGTAAGAGAATCAAGGGGTATGGGGTAAAGGCTGGAAAGTGGTGTTGAGGATTATCAGATCAGTCTTGAATTCACTGAATGGCAATAATAGACACAATGGGCTGAATGGCCTATTTCTGGGCCGTTACCAATATGTGATGTCTTATGATGGATAGACAATGTTCTGCCCCATGGGAGAACCTGAAACTGGAGACGGTTTAGAAATAAGGGGGTGTGGGGTCACACATTTGAGCTGAAGATAAGGAGGAATTTCTTCTCTCAAAGGATCTGTGGAATTCTCTACCACAGCCAGCAGTGCAGGCAATGCTTTCAAATTTATTCAAGGCCAAATCAGATGGATTTTGGATTGACAAGAGTTTTCAAGGGGAGACAATTAAATCAGTCGTGATCTTAGCGAATGCTGGAGTCAGCTCGATGGACTACTGCCCTTACTGTTTATCATCTTACGTTCCCTCTAAATGGCACACGTACATGTTGTACCTCATTCTCATAGGCCCCTCTCGGTGTAACACACAGGCAATGCAGAAGACAGTGATCATAGTAAAAGAGAGTTTGTTCATTCAATATCTCTTTCAAGGAGCCAGCATAGCCCTGATTGGCCAAATCGATTCCCTCCACACTGTATCATTCTCACTGCAATGTGACAAATCTCAATTCTAACCTGCAAATTCAAGAGCTGGATAGAAACCAGTCAATACTCTACATCACATAGTCTGTAATGGCCCATCAAAGGAGTCCCTGCCTGTAAGATAAAACAAAGAGTTGAAGGCAGTTATATTTGGCTGATGACAAGCAAAGAGTCAGCAATTTTACTAATAGTTAAATGATACTTACAGTCTGCCTATGTTGGTTGGAAAGACTGTTGTTCCAACAGATTTTTAAGATTTAGATTTCAGATTTTATTGTCATGCGTACTCAAGTACAGGAGTACAGTGAAAAGTGTATAACGGTGCACCAAGGTATATAATAAAAAGCTTAGGTACAAAGTAGTAATAGGAACGAGAGTTAAAAAGTTAAGCATTACTTCATAGAATTGTAGAAAAATAAAGAATAGATAATAGTTAAAGTTTTTTGTGGTTTAAACTATGAAAATAAAGGAATAAATTAAAAGTTCAACTGTTATTGATGAGTCCTCCACCTTTTACTTCTCTATTTTCTAATTTATTCCTACAATCTGTAATGCTGGAATTTTTATTTCTTCATTTTTCTAATTTCTTTTTCTTAATAACTTGTGCTGAAGAATCTGTATCTATGTACCTTTGTACCTAAGATGGTGTGGTAAGTGGTGACTTGTAAACTTGTCACTGTCCTCATCTGAGTACATGCTACAATAAAGCTAATTCAATTCAATTCTTGCTACTCAGTCTTCCACAGGACTGTAATTGGGAGCTAAATTGTACAGTATTTGACTGATGCAACCTTTTTTTAAAAAATTCCTTCATGGGTTTAGTGTCGCTAGCTGGTTCAGCATTTATTGCCCTAGAGGCAGTTACGAGTCACCCACATTACTGTGGGTCTGAAGTCACATGTAAGCCAAACCAGACCGGGTAAAGATGGCAGATTTCCTTCCCTAAAAGGTGAACTGGACAATTTTTTTTTAAAAAAACAAGCGACAACAAATACATTGCATTAATTGCGATTGTAGTTGTTTAAACTGAATTTAAATTTAAATTTTATCATTTGCTCCGGTAGGATTTGAACCCATACCCCCAAAAGTATAGGCTTTGTGGATTATAACTCCAGTGACATCACCACCACACCACTAACACCCTCCCTCCCTTCAAATTGTTTTGAAATTTTAGCTTGGCGTAGATTAATAAACAACAACCTGTTTTCATTCGATGCAGGAAAATGTCCCACGGCACTTCACAGGAACACAATGGAACATTGACCCAGTGTGTTAAAAAAAAGGGTCAAAAAGACTAAGTAAAATCTGGTATAACAATTCAATTTTCAAAGAGTCATCTTCATTTCCAAATCTCTCTATTTTTTGTCCTCTGCCTGTCTCTGTAGCCTTTTTATCAATTGCTCACATCACCCCTTCAGCAGCAGTGTGAAAACCTTAAACAGTGGACCGTCTAAACATCGTCATTGTGTTTAGGATTCAGAGCAGTTGACTCTGGTCTCTTTTAAGCCACATCAAGGCTGTGCCCTGACTGTGGAGTTTGAAAGAGACAAACAGCAGGCCGTTTCATATGAAAAGACAAAGGACAAAAATATTTGGAGAGAATGAGGTAAGATCTGAACTCAAACTGCGATGTCAGAGATCTTGGAATAAGGGATTCACTTCAAGAAAAATTCAGGGCAGGAGTTATACACTTAATGATAAGGTCCTGGGGAGTGTTGCCGAACAAAGAAACCTTAGGTTGCAGGTTCATAGTGCCTTGAAAGCGGAGTTACAGGTAGATAGAATAGTGAAGGTGGCATTTGGTATGCTTGCCTTTATTGGTCAGTGCGTTGAGTATAGGTGTTGGGAGGCTGTGCAGGACATTGGTCAGGTCACTATTGGAATACTGCATTCAATTGCGGTCTCCCTGCCATAGCAAAGATGTTGTTAAACATGAAAGGGTCCAGGAAAGATTTACAAGGATGTTGCCAGGGTTGGAGGGTTTGAGCTATAGGGAGAGGTTGAATAGGCTGGAGCTATTTTCCCTGGTGCATCAGACGCTGAGGGGTGACCTTATAGAAGTTTATAACATCATGAGGGGCATGGATAGGGGTAAATAGACAAGGCTTTTTTCCCCAAGGTAAGGGAGTCCAAAACTAGAGGGCATAGGTTTAAAGGTGAGAGGGGAAAGATTTAAAAGGAACCTAAGGGACAACCTTTTCACACAGAGAGAGGTGCACGAATGGAATGAGCTGCCAGAGGAAGTGGTGGAGGCTGGTACAATTACAACATTTAAAAGGCATCTGGACGGGTATATGAATAGGAAGGATTTAGAGGAATGTGGGCCAAATGCTGGCAAAGGGGACTAGATTTATTTAGGATATCTGGTTGGGAAGGACGAGTTGGACCGAATGGTCTGTTTCCGTGCTGTACAGCTCTCTGACTCTACAACTCCCGAAAGGGGAATTCCCAATTTTCCCAATGAAACTGAAACATTTAGTAAATATGAATGAGTGCTGGTTCACATTAAGCAGATGAAGTTCCGTCAAGCTGAGTAAACAAGGTACAATGTTGGGTCACAGTGATATGGAGCTGGGAGAGGACGAGAGCTGCAGACCCCTACCTTAGGCACCCACTCTATCTTCGATTGACAGGGAGGGATGGCAAGGCCACAGAGAGGGCTACTCTTTGTACAAATCAGGGACAGGATTTTTAGCCGAGTGTATCGAACAAACTCGATTATACCAGTTCGAAGAATGCCCATTGGCAACTTCTCACAGGTAACCAAAGATGGGCAATAAATGTCACACGTACTGAGAACAAATTAAACCAAACAGACAGATTTCCTATTCTGTCAGCAAAATTCCCATTTACTGGCTATTATCTATGGTCAAAATTACAAGCTACAAAACCGGATTGACCATTCTAAAGACAGCCAATGTTCTTCAAGTGGAATAAATGATCAATACAAGCCATCATCAGAAAATAGTAACAAATAAATAACGTTTCGTCCCTGCTTGGGTGTGGAATCAGAGTTTTACAGCATTTTGCCTATGCCAGTCATCAAGCACCTATCAACCCCTTGTCTCGTTTTTCATCACTTGCCTGTAACCTTCAGTGCATTGGTGCTTCAAGTGTTCATCTAAGTACTTCTGAACTGTTATAATGTCCTGCCTATGCCATCCTTTCAGGCAGAGTTCCAGATACCCATCACCCACTGGGTGAAATGATTCTTCCTTATATCCTCTCTAAACTTCCTGGTTCTTACGTTCAATCTATATTCCCTGGTTACTGATCCCTCTGCTAAGGTGACAAACAGTTTCTTGCTATCCATACCCCTCATAATTTTGTACACATTACTGAGACTAGCTTTACATTCCCGATTGTTATTAAATGAATTTAAAATTTAACCAGCTCCTACACTGTGACTCAAACTTTTGCATTCACCTAGCCACCAGATAACCATACCATTATGGGTATGTCACTGGCCCACCCAGTGGCAGCAAAATATTTTGAGGAGGCGGAATGTTCCAGGGTTATGGCCAGCGGGGTGTCAATTCACCGCTTATTCTGCGATGCAGCAAAAACATCAACTTGTTGTTTACAAAAAGAAATGTAGCACAGAATTGAAACCTGGCACTGGGTGTAAGCACAAGGTTACTGACAAAACTTACAAGATAGTGCTGTTACCGAGAAACTCCTGCCGCAGAGAAAAACAATTTGCAGCTGACAATGTGCACTTGTTTGACTCGCAAATGACCTTTGAACAGAGTGGAATCATCAAACAGCAAATGGCTGCTCACAGTAAGCTTCCCAAATGAGTAGGCCCAAAGCCTCAGTTTAGTCACCAATGTACACTACAGAACAATACAATCTCTAATGAGATTATTGGTCAGGTATTTGAAAAGACATTAATGTTAAAGGTCTTGTAGGAGAGAGAGGCACACAGATAGATAATAGATAGAGAGAAATTATACCTAGTCTCAGAAACACTATAAAGCACAAAATATTTAATTAAATCTAGATTCAAACAATAATTATGAAATAATAGTTGAACAATTAAATTTAGATGGAATTATTTTTAGAATAAATAATATTGTGGAAAAATAGCTGGGAGCATTTGTAAGTAAAAACATAATTAAAACACTTGTCCCTGCGTATATTTTCATGCACCAAAGGACTGAATAGGCAGTGGATAAATAACAAGTTAAAATGACTGGGCTTGTTCCATATCCCCTGATGTTGATCACACGCAAACATCAGCTCTGGCAGAGTGTAAAAGTTAAACTCCCATCCCGGCCCTTGAAATGGGTTTCAATCCTCTCCACAAATTGCACTCCTATAATCTCTCAGCCACAGCGAAAAAAGATCACAAGAAACTTCACGGGTGTACACTCAAAGCTTAGTTGACACCTTTAGGTGGGACTTTATCCTAGGAGGGCCAGAGTCGAGTCCCAACTGCTCCAGAAGTGTGTCTGCGAACAAATTAATTTGAAATTTCCTTAGCTACACTGTGCAGAGGATAATTGGGGCAGGGGATTTTAAAGAGACAGGGGACAGGGTGGGGGTTTTAGGAGCCTAGCCTGTTCCTTAATTCCACATCTTGAAGAAGAGGAGAGAGGATCAGGGAGGGGTATCTCAGACATTCCTAGGGCCTAGCCTCCTAAAGCCAGGGTCGGAGGAGCGCAGAGATTTCAGGGAAGGAAGTTACAGGACTTTTCCCCCTCACTATGACAACCCCCCACCCAGGGGAGGCAGCTATCTGCCTGGTGACCCCTTCCACCTCAATGCCCCTCCTGGGGGGTTTCTGTGGGACTGACACTAACCAGACACCAACAGCAGAATGGGCTGGTTCCTCTCTCTCAGGGAAACACATCGGAGCCTTCTCTCGGTGTAGAAGTGCAATCCATGGACCTGGGAGTCAACAAGGCTGCTCACTGGAATCTCGGTCACACCGTCCTGAATCTTCCCCCAAAACGATCCCGTGGAGATCCCTGGTAAAAGGTTGGGGGGGG